AGTCGTCTTTATGGTACTAATGAAGTCTAAAGAACAAGGTTCGCTTTGGTTTATTGACTATTGTAATCAGCATAAAGCTGCTTTGTTGAAAAGAATCAACGTTTTTAGTGTAAATTTTCGTGTGTATTTTGACCCACTATTATGAAACTTCAAGAAAATTTTTCATATATATCATTTTTTTAATCTATTAAGAAGTTTATGTGTTTGTTATAAATGTTAAAAGAAATTCTTGGCATTCAAGTGAATGTTGCACGCACTAATTAAAAAAAAAGATAATTATTGTTAAATTAATGGTTATTAGATAACATGAATAAAAATTTGCTTCTGATAAAAACTTGTAACTTTTGTGTAATTTATTCAGGCCAATAAAATTTCGTGATAAAATCAAAATATGATCGACAAAAATCATTACCGATTTGCAAATATCCGCCATGCTGTGTTATTGTTATTGTTTTCAAAATCCAGGTGTAGATCTGGTTTAAAATTGTTGAATTGAAAAAGGAAATTGATAATATTGATGTTTGTCAAATATTTCGATAACATGTGCAGTATTTTAACATTTTACGTATAAATTTAGTATTTTGGAAATTACGCCAAGTAATGGATTTCCCAGAATGCGCTTAAATATGTAAATTTTTGTTGCAGGTAATTTTCATATTTGGTTAGTAACATCTCCACAACCGCAATAATTACTTATTGTCTCAATAATCCTATTTAACGACTTAATTTGGAACATGGAAGAAAAATTTTTCTGTCTTGCGTTCAACTTTCATTTCAAGTAAAATGCTAATATTAATAATACTAAACGGAAATTCAATGTTATTGTTATGTGGAGGTTTTTTGTTTTCGTTAATTTGTTACGTTAAAGCTCGAGAAGTTGATGGCAGTGATAATAATTTAAACCAATATTCGAAATTTGGAGCTTCAATTCAACCTTTTCAAAGGAATTTCCCTCCTCAACCTTTTTACGGGTATTTTTCAGAAAAATTCCTCAATTAATAAATTAATACACAAAATTATCTTTATTAAAAGACTATTTTTTTTTAATTCCACATGAAAATAGACTGGATGGAAGTTCAATGATCAAATGTCCATCCGATATTGTTTTCGCTGATCCAACTAAACCAATTCCAAAATGTACTGATCCACTTCCAATTGACAATTTCCCAATGCCAAGGTGCATTTCAAATATAATAAATAATTATCGCACAGAAAAATTTAATATTGTACAGAGATTAGGTTATCAATCTAAAAGACATACTAGCAATATGGTAAATAATTTTTTTAATTAATTTTTATATAATTGTTATTATGAAATTATTTTATTAATTATTTTTTAAAAATACAGGCAACCTTTTTTTCTTATTTCATTTCATCAGATATAATTCAGTCGAATACGCCTATACCATCAATTCCTATCTACATACCACCCGACGACTCAATCTACAATCCACCAACAGGTCCATTAAATAATACCCCAAAAAAACCCCTTGAATTTAATAGAACAGAACCAGTTGACAACTTAAGAAATGGACTGAACCATGTCACGCCGTTCCTTGATTTGAATCAATTGTATGGACTTAGCAAAGAGGAGTCTACTCAATTACGTGATATTGGTAATCGAGGAAAGTTAAAGATTGATAAGAACAATCAATTCTATCCGATGAAAGATCCAACTACCGGTGATTACATCTTGGGACAATTTTCTAATCAAACAAATTATATTTTCACATTGGCAATCCATGTTATTTGGTTACGTGAACATAATAGATTGTGTGATCAATTATACATAAAATATGGTGACTCGTGGACTGATGATCAATATTTTGAAGAAGCTGTAAGTTATAATGTTGATAAAAATATTGATTATGATGATTATTATTTATAAATCATCAATTGATTTTTTGTTTTATTATATTTAATTAGAGAAGATGGAATATTGCATTTTATCAAAAAGTAGTAGAAGAAGAGTATTTTGGTACTATCCTTGGTAGATCACTGCCACAATATGAACAATATAACGAGAGTTTAGTGCCAGGAATTGACGTTTTCTTCGAAACAATAACATTCAAACATAGCCACAGTGAACTTGGGTAAGCAATTAATTTAATTATCATAATCCTAATAACAATTAACTATGTAAACTAATGACATTATAATTCACATTTTCTTATCGATGATAGCAATAAGTATCGTTTACAAGATGAATATGGTGACATAATTGAAGATTTAACATTGGATGACATTTCGACAGTTGGATTGTTGGAAAAATTTGGAATAGAAAAGGTTTTGAGATCAATGTCCCTACAAGTTCAAGAAGATTCAGATATTTATTATTCTGATGCTGTCAGAAATTATAAAACTATTGAGCAACTTAGTTATGATATGGCAGCTTCCAGTGTTTTAAGAGCCAGAGACAGAGGTATGGCTGAATTTTTGTGTATGTTTATATATTTGTATGTTTGTATAATATGAGGTAATGTTAAGGTAATTAAAAAAATTTGTAGGAATTGCTTTATATAATGATGTTCGCCAGGCATATGGTTTAAAAAAGAAAGATTCATGGGCAGATATAACTTCAGTTAAAGCATTGCAGGATTATCTACAACAATTGTATCCTAATGGACCTAATCAATTGGAAGCTTTTGTTGGAGCAATGGTTGAAGATCATTTGGACGGATCAAATTTTGGTGAATTGTTGGACACTAGTATGGTCACCCAGGTATACATTTATTTATAAAACTTTTAAATTATATAATTAATTTACTCACTCACTTTATCATTTGATAATTTATTTATAGTTTGTGCATATTAGAGATTCAGATAGATTTTGGTATGAGAATAGTATCATGTTTACAGATGATGAAAGGGAAATCCTTAGACATACAACATTTAGAGATATTATTGTACGTAACCTGCCAGAAGATTATCAATCAATTATCCCACAAAATATTTGGATGGTTCAACCAGTAGCATCCACTAAACCTTTATCACCTGATGATGAATATCCAATTGATATTTCTGTGTGGCCACTATATAATGTCAAGTATGGCGTCGATGATTATTCTATTTCTTTCAAAGTTACTTTACAAACTAGTGATGGTAAAGGATGGTTTGGAATGGTAATTTGTTATTGTTATTATTATTATTATTATTATTATTATGGTAATAATGAATAAACTTGAGGAGGTGGAATTCACGAATTTTTGTTATTTTTTAGGGATTTGATCCTGATGATGATGGAATGAGTGGGGCAGATTTTGTTATTGGAACTGTAAGATTCTCATTATATTTACTTTATGACCTCACAACTCAAATAAATAAATTATTTAAATTTTTATAGATAGGAGAGAATAGTACTTTTGACTTACACAATTATCATTCAGCTGGTTATCATACACCTGTTCTTGCCGATGATTCAGATTTAACAATAATTAGTAATCCACCTCTTAAAGATAATTTGGCAACTATTGAATTCTCAAGACCGTTATTGCCTAATGGAAAAAAAGGAATTAAGAAAGGACCTGTTAAATGTATGATTTTTTTTTTTTGGTCAAGTGTAAATATTTTGGTGCTAATAATAGTAATAATAATTGATTACTTTATTGATTATATGATTTTCTTTTAGATATCATGGCTTATAATCCTGGAAGGTAGAGAGTTATTATAACATGATAATAACTAATAATTACACTAATAATATTAATAATAAATTTATCATTATATTAATATATAAATAGTTCGCAGTTTTCTTATCATGCGAATAATCGTATAATGCTTACGATCGATTTTTATGAAAAAAAATTACAATTAGAAGAAATAACATTAACTCAACAAAGAGCAAAACTTTTCCATGGAATTGCAATGGGTTTAACCTGGAGGTAATTTCTCAATTGGTTATCAATTATCATTTGACTTGGCGATCTATAACACAACTCATACATTTTTATTTTTTGCTACACATAAACATAACATAAAAACAGTGTAGTGTTTCCAATATCAATTTTTATAGTTAGATTTTTTAAACATACAAATCACTATGTCAAGGTCCATCGATTTCTTCAGATAGCAGGTGGAATAAGTGTTGGAACTTTTGGAGCAGCAGTAATATCAGTGTCTATGATAGATAATCCTCATACACTGTAAATTTAAATTCAATTATGAAAATATATACATATATGCATATAATTTTAATAACCAACCTATTAATAATTTAATAAATCTTATGTTTATCTAGAGTAGGATTGGTGCTTTATTCCTTAGTATTTCTACAATTAGCAATTGGAATAACTTCAATATGGAGCCAAGCATATTTAGTATCAGTAAATATAGGTTATTTTAGGTTGTTTAAAAGAAGTCATAAATATTTAGGGGCATCCTTATTAATTATTGCATGGTTTAATATTTATCTTGGTTAGTAGAATTAATTTGAGATTGGATTTTTTTTTTGATCATGGTTTATATTTTTAATATAAAAATTAATTGTATATTACAAATATACTATTTATTTATTAGGCATGGATACCTATAGTTTAATATATGGAGAGTAAGTATAAATATCAAGACTAATATTTCTTTTTTATGAATTAATAATAATCAAGTATTATTTTTATTCATTTTAATTGTAGGGATTTAAAGATATATAAAATAATATACATTGTTTGGATATCTTTAGTCATATTAGCATTTATAAATTATGAAATTTTATATAGTCTAAAACTCAAAAAAAATAAAATAAAATATACTAAATTAAAAAACAATCATGATGACAATGACAATGAATCTGGAAATGATGGTAAAAAACCGATTATAGTTGATCATCTTGGTCATGAAAAGTATGCAAGTTTACCAGATCTTACGTTGAATGAATTTAATGATAAAGTTCAAAAAGGCGTAAGTTTTTTAATGAAGTGGGTTGGATATAGGCAATTAATTAATAGGATTTAAAGCGTTGGTTGATGTTATTATTATTAATATATTGATTGTATTATTTCAGGCACATTTAGTAATTTGTGATGGGTTTGTTGTTGACATAAGAAATTGGTTGACTAGTCATCCAGGAGGAGCGAGAATATTAGAAAATGTAATCGGAACTGACATTACTGATGGTAAAAACTCAATGATGATTTCTTTTATATTTTTACTTGACAGATAAACTAAAATTGAATATATTTAATATTAGATTTTTATGGAAAAAATACTATTGATGGAACAATTAAACACCAGACTTTTTTTTATACTCCTCCTTCAGCAACAAAACCAAACCGAAAATCAGACTTTGGTATTATTGAAAAGATCGACAAGTTACCAATTGCAGCATTAATTGATGATTTTAATAGGGGGAATACTATTAAATCTCCATTAGCAGTTCATTCTCATAGTTACATTGCAACCAAAAAAATGTCAAAAATGATAATAGCAAAATATATTGATCAATCCAATGACAACGATATTAAAGATCCAATATTTCATAAATTTAAATTTATAAGATTTAAACTAATTGACAAAACAATAATAAACAATAGTAAAGAATTCCCAATCATCAAATTTGTATTTGCCACTAATAATAATAGGAAAAGTGGCGATACTAATTTGGATTATTTGCCCGGACATTATATTGAAGTTCAGGCAAAAATTAAAGGTCAGGTAGTGATTAGGAATTATACACCAATTGATGGAACAATAATGAAAAGTTTTTCCATTATAGTAAAGATTTATCCAAATAGTCTGATTTCAAAATATTTAAACAGTCTATTAATTGGATTTGAACTTCAAGCAAGAGGTCCATTTGAACTTGGTAATAGAATATCATCATTATCAACTCATACAGCACCAATAAAAACACCAATAACAACAGAACTTCAACAAACATCATCACAAAATAATATTAATGTTCCAGCTATACAACCAATAGTAACATTAAACAATCCCCTTCTATTAAATGTTATCAGTAATAATGATTATATTGATGTTAATAATAATAACAATAATAATGGATGTTGGGATAATTTATATATGATATGTGGAGGAACTGGAATTACACCAATGATTCAGGTAAGAAGTTTTAAAAAATATATAGAATTAATAATTTGGTAAACTTTATTACTAATTAATTTATATTTTTTTTTAGTTAATAAAATATCATTTAAAGCATTTTGATTTTAATAATATGGATAATGGGAATAGATTATCAATGCATTTATTATATGGTAATAGATCTTTTGGTGACCAAATACTAAATTTAAAAGAGCAATATATGGAGCCACTTTATGAAAAATGCATTTATGATCTTTCCATAATCGATAGCGTATTATCTGTTGTATATGTATTTAATAAGCTTTCTCCCAGTAATGAAGAAGAAGAAGGAGAAGGAGAATTACAGCAGATAAAATCAGCAGCATTGGAAGGAAAAATTGACAAAAAAATTTTAAAAAATTGGTTTAAAGATATAATTATAAATAATGAATCGAAACGGGGGGAGGGAGAAGCGGAGAAAAGGACGAGAGATTCATTCAATAATGTTATTCCTGATATTTCTAACAATCAATCACAATCGCTTTCGCCAGAAACGCTTCCATCAAATTTCTCTAAACAATCAGATTCCTCAACTGATAAACTACAAGAAGGTCAAACAGCAGAAGATCAAACAGCAGATGAAGAATTAAATAAATTTATTAGAGATTCGTTAAATAAACCTAATAGTAAAATATTTGTGTGTGGACCAATGAAAATGATGAATAAAATTGGAGATATTTTATCCAATGATCTAAAACTTAATATAAATGATGATTATATTTTGTTGATGTGATTAATATTATTTAATTGGGTTTGGATTAGAATTAGAATTCAATATTATTTATTTAATTGGGTTTTGGATTAGAATTTGAATTCAATATTATTTATTTAATTAGGGTTTGGATAAGAATTAGAATTCAATTATAATTTTTATCAATATTAATATAAGTTGTATTCATTATGAATTACCGTAATCAATCATGTTTACGGGATTATTTATTATTATTTCGAAATACATAAACGTCATTATATAACAAACGTATTTCATATCATCAAATGTTTTGAATAATATCAAAAGTGCACCATATTCGGATGAAATTAGAATGATTATATCGAATAACTTTATGATAATATGCTAACTGTATTTAAAGTTAATGTGTTCTATATCCAAAAACTAAATCTTCTCATTGTCCCTGTCTGCACGGTTTTGATAATAAACGCATGTGTATGTACAATTTAAGCATACAGTCAGAACTCGGTAAGATAAAACGAATGTACACGATAAACCGATGTTTTTTTATTATCACCCACCTATTAAAATTTATCTCTGTAGGCCGATTTCATTTAAGATTTTTCGTTGTGAAAACATTGACTTATTAAACATATCAATATGGGATATACGCAATTTTCATGAGACAGACCTCAATCCTACCATTCCAGAGACACTAAAATTTCGTGATGTCATCAATATTAAAGAATTTCTCTTCAGGTGTTGTAAAGTCGATAGGAACAAAGGTTTAGATACACTCAACATATAAAACGATATTAGGCTACCATTCGATATTGTTTTTATCAGAACTCATGAAAATACAGTAGATTAAGTAAACGTTATGTTTTACTATATAAAAATACAAAATAATTCGATTTAAGAGATATCGTCTTTGCAATATTAATATTACTAAAAGTTGATAATCTAATTTGTATTCGACCAATTAAATTATGAATTGTGATTTTTGTAAATTAATTATGTTACCACGCACACCCAACCCGTATTTCAATTACGTAACGGTAACAGTAATTATTCTTGTAAGTGCGGATCACCTATACGCAAGAGTTAAAATATTATGCGATCCACTGGATTTTAAAAAATACCACCACCATTCAATCCAGCTTTAAAAGGGAATCAATTCATGTAAAAAATTTTGTCTCGAATTCTTTTTCGTAACAGTAGATTTTTTAAATTTGAGAGTTATGCTCAGAAATAGGACCAGGAAAACTCTATTGTATGTGACCGTCAAATTAAATGACAAATCATATTAATGCGAATCTTAGTTTTTTATAATTATACGAATCGATTTTCAGAATACATTTAAAAAATTATTAATATTAATGAATACGAATCAAATAGTTTACATGTGAAATTTATCTTTATTAATTAAAAATATTTAAAAGGAAGTTTTGTGTACTTGGCATATTAAAATGAATATAAATAAATTAAAAATGAACTGCAATCAAACAAGGACTAATGTCATTAATATTAGAGTAAAAACGTAATCCCAAAAAATAAAACTACTTCTCATGGCGTAATATGAATTGTAATGTCTCCTGGTAAATTTTCACGTGAAAGATACCGTTAATATAAATGAATGATCTCAAAATCCTATTATTACTCTCAGAATGTCTTTTAAAGTTTGCAACTTGATAATTGACTCAAATAATTTGATCGCATTTGCAAATAACTTTTTTTAGCATTGAAAGTTGAGGTATGTAGTAAAATATTGTTGGCATGAATCGCGAGGAATTCTTTTACAATTATAGTGTGACCGATGACATTTTCATTTCTCTATATTAATATTTGCGAATCAGTATAACCGAGGACATTATTTCCTTCGAATCATTATTTGCTATTACAGTCAGACTCCTATATAATCACAACGTCGGGAATGCGAATTGTTGATGATTATGATCGAATGTGACTATATAGGATTTCTCTTATATAATCACTTACTATGTAATTTAAATCTTTTAGTTTATTTGACATCCCAAGTAGATAGATATATGTATAAAAAAAATAAAAAACTATAATAATAATTATATAAAAAACAACAACAATGGTTAGGCCATTTGCACTGACTTGTCCATTCCATATGTTCATTGCCTTTCCTAGTTCAGGAAACCTCACTTTTATACAGCAAAAAGCATTATGATGGGTTATAGATGAAGCATCTAACCATTTTTCTTTATCATGTAAAATTTTTGTTACTGATGACCTATCAATATTCAATGAAATTTTTCACTAAAATAATTTGCAATTTCATGATGAGTTTTCTGAATATTTTTTTGGAAATATATACAAATTTCCCTTTTCAATTTCTCACTAATAGCTGTATGTTTTTGGTTGAGACATGGTAATGATAATAACAACAATAATGGTAATGATGATGGTAATGGTAATTACAATATCCAATGGTAACAATTTATTAAAATTCAAAAATTCAAAAATTCACAAAAAATTTTTCAATTAGCCAATAATATTTACATGAATTGGTGATTATATATGATGAAATTTATATATGTTTTAATATGTTATGGAACTGTCAAATATCGGTGATAGTGATTACAATATGAAAGTGACTATATATGATTAATTTTAATATAAAAAAAAACGGGAATGAAAAATATGTGACTATATAGGAGTTGTGACTATATTGGATGTGACTGACTATATAGAAGTCTGACTGTATATAAAGGTGACCTTTTCCATCTTCTATTAACCGAATCTATGACCTTTTTTTAAAAAAAAAGTACGGACAGACACTTTCAATAATTATAATTTTCGTGTTACAATATTTTTGGCAATGATTTTCTTTTGATATGTGGGGCGCGGAAAATAGAAACAGCCCTAACTATAACTGCAAAATCTCGATTTTGAGAAAATCGGAAAAAAAGATCTACATTTCAAGTAATTTACTATTGTTTTTAAAAACTTTAACAGAAAATATCTCAAAATTTTACTAAGTAAAGTGGGTATTGTTTCTAAGCTAAAATTAATTCCAGTGGCGAATTACATATAAAAATGTCATTAACTCAAAATCACAATTTTGGTAGTTAGGGCTGTTTCTATTTTCCGCGCCCCATGTTCATTATTATTATATATACACATTTGATTTTAAAAAACCCACCACCATTCAATTCAGCTTTAAAAAGGGAGTCTATTAATCTGAAAAAAAAATTTGTCTCGAATTTTCTTCATAGATATTTTTTAAATTTGAAAGTTATGCTCAGAAATACAACAATAATTTTCGCGTTACAATATTTTGAATCTCACGACCAAATTTGATAATGATTTTCTTTTAATGTAATATGTTCGTTAAACTTTTTTGTTGTAAATAACTTTTATTTATTAATAAAAAAATAAATCAAATGTATATTCTATGAAAAAAAGTTGTTACACGAAATTTACTTAGTCACAATTTCTTAAATGTATAACAAAATTCGGAATTTTCAAAATGCTAAGGCTCAGGTTTAAGAAAAAAGCAGCCGATAAGTTTTGAAGCTTGAGTCATGAACAATTAAACTTATCGGTTAAATTTTTTAATGAGATAATTTTTTTTTGTTTTAGTATTTTGAAGTTGACCAATTGTTATTGTAAGCAATTAATTTTTTTTTAATGATTTAAATATAAACCTTCATACTAGAATTTTGTCAATTAGAAATAAAAGGAATTTGATTATTTTGAAAAAAACAAACCAAATATGTAAATTTCTCTAATAATTGATATGACAATATGCTTCAAAAATTTTATATGCTATAACCTAAGATCCTCCAATTCTCTGGTATAATTTTTATCATATAATTTTGGCTACCTTTTCATTAAAAACAATATTTTACAAACCGTCGTTTTTTTCTTAACACACTGCAAATCAACAGTCTATAATGGATTCACGTGATCTAAAATACAGATTTCTACAAATATAATCTTAAAAATCTCAAGAACAACAAGATTACTTAAATCTTAATAAATAAAATATAATGTAGAAAACAAATAAAATGTATAATTTAATTTCTTGATTTAAATCCGCCTAATTCAAGTTCCAAATCAATTTCTTTTGTTTCGTTATTTTTTAAAATATCATTAAATAAGAGAAAATCTTTAAGTTTATTTAGCAAAGCAGACAATTCTGATTCCAACAAACAAAGAATTAGCAACAACTTAAAAAAAGTCAAAAAAATAGCATTTTATTCAAAATACAACCTAAATTAGATGATTTTTTTAATATTAACATTGAATAGTATTTTTTTTTTTAAATAAAACATTTATTTTTTGTGTTTCGTCAATATTAAAATTGCACGCGACTTCATATCGATACTAATACCGGATTCTCGATATTTTTTCTAATTCCGATGATCCGAAATAGAGAAAATGAACTGTATTCTACATATTTTATTGAATCACAGGGATATATTAATATGAATAACAATAATTAACTTTTTTTGTTGTTCTTTTGATGGGTGTCTAGAATTTTCATAAGGCAATGGTTTAGATGTTGACACCGTTAACTGTTTAACCGGTTAATTCAGGCGTTACAAAATTTTATTTTAACTAGAATATATGGGGGCATGGACAATAGAAACAAAATCACGATTTTGAGATAATCGAAAAAAAAGATCTGCATGAAGTATTACCTATTGTTTTTAAGAACTTTAACAGAAAATCTCTCAAAATTTTATCAAGCAAAGTGGATATGGTTTCTAAGCTAAAATTAATCTCTGTAATAAATTGCATGTAGAAATGCTGTTAACTCAAAATCATGATTTTTGACATTTGGGTCGTTTCTATTGTTCATGCCCTATATATACATACCAAAACATAATCTATATTAATATACAGTATTTGCGTGTAATAATGAAATAAACGCTGACGGCTCTAGAGTTTCCAGCTACTCTAGAGAGAGTATCAACCTTTACTTTTTCTTTTGGGTGAGTTTATGGTTAGAGCTTCTGTTCGTAATACAGACACTTATTCTACTCGTAATACAACTCAATCTTAATATTAACATCAATTCGTTATTTATTCGTTGTTCGTTTTATTCGTTGTTCATTTTATTCGTTGTTCGTTTTATTCGTTATTCATTTTATTTGAATAAACATTCAATGTAATTTGAATACTCAACTCATAACAAATGTAATAAATAATTTTTATTTGAATAGAACTCTTACAATGACTATTTGCCAGTAGAAAAAAAAAATCACTGTTATTATTATCACTACAAAGGAAAACTAATTTCTACAACTATTATTATGAATTGACCAAAGAAAAAAATGTCAATTAATTCTGCTACCACTATTATTATTATTATTATTATTATTATTATCATCACTAAAAGTTCAATGAAGTAAAATAGAAATAATGAAATTTTTTTTTAATTCGATTGATAATATCAGTTATATTATTCGAATGATTTTTTTTTATTCGAATTTGCCAGTTAAAATTTTCACGTGACTAAATTAACCGGTTAAAGAATTTTGCGCGGTGCCAACCTTCTTTACAATGGATTGATTATAAAATATGTGAATGTTACTGAGGCAGAATTTTTTAGGTCCTGTTCTTTCCAAATGTTAACTTTTTTTTTTACCTATTACCGTAATTCGTAAGTAATTTGGGCACGGAAAATAAAGCAAAGTCATCATGATTTTGAGTTAATAGCAATTTGTCATAACAATCACTGGTGCAAATCATTTAATTCACAAAGATTTCTTTATCAAATATATATATTGAAATCATTTCATTATTTTGAAATGCAGATCTTTCTTTTTCTGATTACGGAGCAATATCCGAAGTACTTTTCCTTTGTAATTACAAAGAATAGAAAATAAATAACTGACAGATGGATTAATGTGGTGATGTAATGTTCACAGTTTGATTTTGTTGTAATCCCATGTAATTTTTTATTATATAGATTGCTTTAAATATTTTTTGTGTTGCGGTCATACGTGATACAAAAAAAAAATTTTTAATGCTACAAGAATTTTTTGAAAACGTCCTTTAAAAGATTTATTGCATAATAATAATAATATTTTGTTGAAATTTGCCTTCTCGGTAGAGTAATTGGCGGTTAAAGAATCCCGTACCAATCAAATGTCATGAAACTTGAATGACGATGTTTGTGTTTCGTTGATATGGACTGATTGGGTGGGTGAGTACGAGAATTAATCTGTAATTCAAGGTCAATTGGCACGAACAGCAGTTTATTTAAAAGAATAATAGCATAATCTATCGTAACTATGATATAAACAATTATAGTAAAATGTAATTAATATTAACGGCTTTTTTTTGTTTTTAATTACGTTTATTTTTGATTGGTTCAATCAAATATATATAAAATGCAGATTTCCATAAAAGCATTACAACAATTAAATTAAATCAAAAATCAGAACAATGGTTAATATTAACAAATTACTATTGCATCATATTGACTCTTTATATATATATATTAATTGTGTATTATTATTCTTGCCCTTAAGAAGATTTTTCCCATTAATAAACAAATTAATTAATTACTAAAAAAATTTTTTAAATTCAACGAGCGGTAATTTTAAAAAGAGCGACTTATTTATTGGCCAAATTTGATAGTTTTAAATTAAAGTTGCATGTCAATCAAATTCACGTGAAATCTGATAATAACCGATAATATTGCAGCCGAGTTATTTTTGTTATTCAAATATTCAAACATGACTTGAAAGGCATGGATGACCACCCGGTAAAATGCACCAATCAATAAAACTGTTCTTTTTTTTTTTTTAGTGAATTCGGGTTTAAATTTATCATTTACATTATTATTATTTATATTTATATTTATTATTTATTATCGAAACAAATATAATCAAATCAATTTTAATAATTTATTTTCAATTTTATTTATTATTTAATTTGTCGCTATTTAGCGTTGTTGCATTTGTTGCTTTGTTTCGTTTGTTTTTTTGTTTTGCTTTGTTGGGATTGATGACAACTGACACATTGATTAACTGGTTGGTTGATTGGTTGGTTGACTTGCTGTTGGTGATTACTAATTTCGTTAATAGGTAAATTCCGAAATACATATTGTATCATTTGACAATGCTTTTACCAGTGACTATTGCGTTGTTTATTAATTATCATCACTATTATTATAGAAAACAGTAATGTAATTAATAAATTATTTGCCCCCATAAACAACTTTACCCAAATTTCACTTATTCCAAATTAGGAGCGTAACATTAAAAAGAGGCATAATAACCAATTAAAAAAAAATCCATTGAATTCTATTTTGTGCAACAAGCTATTTCAATATTTGTTTTAAAAAAAAGGTTTACAGGGTTCCGAAACTATATGACCGATAGGTCAATGACAAAAAAATCATAACTACTGTGATTTTGGCTTGTTAAATAATATCTCAAATTTGGTAATTTTCTCACAAACATCGTATTTTTTTAAATAGGCCTTTGTTAGAAGAATCGACCCAGTTGCGACAATAATTTTTTAGCCTGGTATTGCAAATAAATGTTGTCATAGTATTATGGTGAATTGAATGAGTAAACTTAAAATAATTATACAATATCATTCATTTTCTTCCAATTAATAAATATTAAAAAATATAATCAGTTCACTTTATTAGTATTTATTTATTTATTATACAAAATAAGAAAAATTTTTTCATATCGCCTTTTGTGTAACCAACAAAACATAAATTTATTGGAAATTCTTATTCAGTTTCAAAAAGATCCTTAAACACATAAATGATCTCATAAGTTCATATACAGAACAATAATAGCAATAAATAATAACAACAATAATAATTGTTTTAAAATGATTTTATTAATTTGTCTGTTCATTGAAATTTTCTTTTTTTTAAAAAATTCCGAACTAATTGTTTATGAAACTATAAACGAAATCTAAATAAAGTCAACAAAAGCAATTTAAAAGAAAATGGAATACAAAGAAAAGACAAAACATTATTATTATTATTATCATCTTTCCTTAATTTTTATTCATTGTTAAGTTTGATTGTTGTTATTATTTGATCATTATTGTGTTTTTATTTGAATTTTAACCAATCGTTTAAATTAACTAACTTTGTTCTCGGAAATAGCAAAGAATCTTAAATAGAATATTCTTTAAGTTCTAAATACAGCAAGGAGTATAGTAAGTATTCAATCTAATAATTTTTTTTTTTTTTTTTTAAATTTACGCGTTTTTTTTTACATTTATTTGTTTTAAAAGAGAATAATAACAAATTACAAAATAAATAAAATAAAATAAAATACAATTTTCAAATAAATAAACTAAAAGAAAAATTACGAGAAAAAAAAAAAACTTACAATTTTCTATGTTTACATAATTTTATTGTTAATATTTATATTTATAAAATATAATTTACAGAGAAAGAATAAATATTTAACAATTTTATATATATATTTAAATATTTACTAAATGATAATATTATATATATGATGTGCTATATGAATGTTTGTTTTTATATGTGTAAAGAATATATATAAATGTGTGTGAATGTATGAGTGTATGCGTGTATGTATTTATAAAATAATATGTAATCTAATAGCTTATTTATATAATTAAATTGCATATTAGAAAGTTATGTTCAAAATGGATTATCTGTATTGACTGCGATTAGTTTTTCTTTGGCGTATTAACACCTTTCGAATAACTGCTACTATTTCCAACATTATTATTGTTGTGTCGTTGTTTCATAATATTTGATTTTTTATTATTTTTATTGTTTTTGCCACAATTATTTTTATTTTTATTATGACCATTAATATCGCTCATATAATAATCATCATCATCATCAACAATATTGTCATCATCTTCATCACCACCACAATTAAATTTGGAAGAAGATTTCCCTAGACGTTTAAGTATTTTTCCTTCGACCAATTTGCTTTTGAGTTTATCAATTAAATCTTTTAAATCGTGATTTTCCAATTTCAATTCGTCGACTTGCCTTTTCAAGGTATTATTTTCTTGTTTCAATTCGTTTATTGCAAAATTCATTTCAACATTTTGTTTATGTTTTTTGGCTCTATATTTTGCGGAGGCTACTTTATTTCTTTCTCTACGTTCTTGCAACGATAAAGGCATCATCATAAGGTCATTGATGTTATTTGGTGTTTGAAGCGCAGATAACAACAATGCAGGATTTGGAGAACTTAAAGGAGTTGGCAAGTTTATTGGATCAGAATCTAAATAGTCAGTTGAAGTAGTTGATGATGGCGATGACCTGGAAGTTGAATTGTTATTGATGTTGTCATGATTATTAAGTGAAGAAGTGGTAATTTGTTGAAGAGATGGTAAAACTATTTTTTCTGAGTGACGACGATGAAATTGATACTGTTGTTCGTGATAATGTTGTTGTTTATTATTATTATTCGAAGGCAAGTTATTATTATTATCATTATCACATAATTCTTGAACCGATAGCGCTCTATTGATACCGCCGCCATTATTATGATGATAATAATTTTGATTCTGAATATAATTTGAATGTTCAAAAGAAATTGGGTTTGTAACTTTAGAAATTGTGGTTTCTGTTGCAAAAGTCATTTTTTTAAAGTAGTAATTATTATTATTTTTTTTTTTTTTGCGATAGATTTTTTTTTTAAAAAAAATAATAGTATTGCGAGTTTGTTTTTTTTAAAAAAATAATTTTTTTAAATATTGTTTATCAAAAATTTTTTTTCTTAAAGAAATAAAATCTTTTGATGATGAATTGTTGTATGATATGAACAAAAAAAAAACGAAGAAAGGAATGCTCTTTATATATAGATTTTTTTTTTTATCAATAAATAAATAAATTAAATTAAATATATATATTTTTAAGTAACAACAAAAAAAAAACTTTACACAATCAAAAAACTTGTTTGGCCACCGAATCTGTAAATCCAAATAAAAAATTTTTTTTATGTGTAATTTATATAATATACTCAATATATTCGCAGTTACAAAAATGTAAATTACTATATTTTGGTTTGGTACATATAATATTTAATAAAAATATTTAATTATAATGTAATTCAATATATATAAAATTCAATACAATATCAATATCAATGTCATAAATATTTGCAGTATAGTTGTTATTCGATTAATTGTTTTACTCACAATGTTAAATATTATTATATTGAAATTTCCCTGGTCGTTTTTTTCTATCTGTACCTAACCCATGCATTTCATAATTAATTCTAGAACATCTCACCGCACACAAACTTATATGTATGCTGTATGTACATGGATTGATGGAGAAAAAAATATTATAATTAGTAAAAAAAAAATTTAGAGTTCTTGCACTCATTAAAAAAAAAAAAGAATTTATGCAAACGTGATATTGTTTCGCGCAAGAAGTGCAAACGTGGACAAATATATATGCTAAATAAATAAACGACGACGATGATGGTAATGATTTCTTTGTTAATTAAAAGTCATGAGATGATGAGTAAGGATGAGTAAGAGAATAAATATATGAATGGGTAGGCGGAGAAGGCAAATAATATTAAATATCATACCGTATATAGAATTATTTATTTTGGTGCAATTCAATGCAATTCTCACACCACGTTTTATGAAGTCTGTTTAACAATGAATGAATGAACTTAATTGAATTAATAATTTCTCTTGTTTCGAAAATGATCTGCAACGTGGCTAAAATTAAACCTGAAAAAACTAAAATGAACTTTAGCAGGAGGGAAATCGAAGAATAAAATTGGAAGAAAAAAATATATTTTAGGTTTTTTTTAAGGATGGTGCCTGTTTCAGAGAAGCAAAATTTATAATACGGAAGAGGTCATGAAACCGTTACACAATGTACACACGTTTTTTTTGGATTTATGTATGATAACGAAAATCAATTGCATCATAATTGTAGATCTCAACAATTTAACCATTTAATTTTAAAGATATTTTTTTATACTTTTCACTATTTTTAGAATTCTCTAAAACAAAAAAAATTTATTAAAATGAAATTATTAGTTAAATAAACTTATTATATCATTTATTAGTAATTAAACAAATGATTAGATAACAATAACCGAACGACAACAAACATTCTAATAATTGTAAGATAAACAAAGCTCGGGGAACAATAACTCGTTGTCGAATAGCAATTGGCGAGTAATTATTTATATTAAATCAATAATAATCAATATATTGATGACAAATTTATAAAACAATTAACCGCGGGAGATTGTTGCAATTCAGGTTGGCTATTTGATTATCTTGGCACGTTAGAAGTTCTAGATTTTTGCAACCATCAACTTCTAATTATAAATTTTATTGTTAACAAAACAACTGTATATTTTGGAATATCACGGAAATTTATAATTGAAACTATTTGTTGTGATCGCAATTATATGATATGTAGTAAACTGTATGGAGTACGATTAGTCGAGAAAAAGATGACGCACAATGCAAATACCAATTGCATTCAAGAAAACAGGTTAATTTAAGTTATTTATTAGAATGAACCAAGTAAATAAACGGAAAACAAATATTTTTAATATAGATGTATTTGGGCATCAATAAACTTTAAGTTTTAGAATTTTAGATTATTTAGGAAAGTTTCATTACGCGTAACAATAACTTCAATTGAAAAGAAAAGGTTTGTTCAATTGGATTATTAATATGTTATACATCTTGTCACATGTTATAATGAGCGTGCGTACAATAATAATTAAACGTTTTACACGTTATAAAGTATACACGATCTTAATAACAAACAATACGCGTAAAAGGCAAATAAAGACAACTATTATTCTTGTTTTTCAGTTATTTATTTGTTATTGTTATTTATTAAATGCAACTAATTAATAATCAGTATAAAATTGGTCAATGAATAATTAACCAATGACAGAATTAGTTACTTAATTAGTTAATACTAACTTTTTTTTATAAACGAACAATCGAAACATTTTTTGCGAATTTTCAGACCCCCTGTAAATTCATTTATGTGTCGATCATTTCATATAGAAGGTTTGTTTTGCTATTATTACCTCTTCTTTGAAATTCAAAATTCGAAATATATGTATGTAAGCGTCCTAAAATGATGTTTTTTGAAACTTGGTTTAAAAGGTTTAACGAGCTATAATATTTAAAAAATTATTGGTGGTGGAGTGACCTATTTTCATCGGGTTAATTTTAACGTTGGGGCGTTATATATAATCATAATCACAAACATAAGTATGCTGATCAAATTTTTATTTATAAATATTTTTTTGCAATTAACAAGCGGGAAACTTAAAATTTCTAGAAATCTTGTCTATAATGTAACAACGGTATTTTTTTTGTTTTAATATGATTTTTTAAATGTAAATAAGTATTCTTTAAAATATGGCTTTGTTATTACATTGTAAAAAACATTTTTCATCTGTATGTGATGAGTTATAACCGGTTATGTTTAAATTTGAGTTTATCGACGAAAATCTATACTAAATAACTATTAGGTTCCAAAATTTCAGGGGAAACCAAACACAATATAATATTTCCATGTTTGGAAATTTGTTTATTTTTATATATATGTTTGTTTATTTATAAATTTTTTTCTAAATTTGTAACAAAAAATTTTTTTTAGATTCTCCAGAAAAAGTCATGAAATGAAATTTAAATTCATGCATTAGCTCTATTTAAAAATATCAACACTCGATTGCTATTCCAAATAATTCAATTAATTACTTGCCATCTTTGTCAATATATAATGACCATTATCAATAACAATAATATTACTGTATATCTTTTCTAAAAAAAATCATATTAATGCATTATTTATTTATTATTGAAAAATTCCAATTTCAGAAAATTAATTAAATTAAATTCTTTAAATTGTTTGAAATATTTTTAGCATAAATATCATTATGTTTATCTCTAATGAATTAATTAATTGATTAGTAATTACTAATCAATCAATTTCCAATTATTGTATTGTGTTTGTTGTTGACTTAAAAAAAAAAAAGATAAACTCAATTATTAATCAGTGTCATCATCACGATGACGGATGATATTGTTTGAGTTTAAACGAATTAAAGTTTTAAGCGACGAGTATGCGAGGAAAAAATGAAATTGTTTATTTTTTGATCAAAAAACAATATGAACGGACCAATAAATTTGTATGTGTGTGCTACACACACGCGTATAGATAGAAATTTTCAATTGATTCTTCTTCACATTTTCTTTGCCGAAAGAATATTAATAATATTTAATTTAAATGCGTTAAGGAGAAATACCAATTCGGGGTAATAAATATAATACTTTATTTTTTTTTTTTTTTAAATTAATTGTTGTAGCTCTTTTATGGTATAATGACTTTCCAATTATATCGCAAATTCAATGTGAATTGTCATCATAACATTACATTATCTTGTTTGTATATATTATTTATAGATTAGTTACGAAAGAAAAAGAAGAATAATAATAATGGATAAATGGAATGGATGATGGATAGATGAATGGATAGATAGGTGGATTTATGACAAAAAGAAGATAAGGAAAAATATTAATGTAAAGGTCACATTATTTCGAAAAAGGAATACAAACAAACTTTTAAACATTGATGACAAAGGAACAAATCATCATCAACCATCAATAATCAGTTATCAATCATCAAGAATCAATTAGACAACATCTTCACGATCTAATAATGGCCAAAATTACTATTGTTACTATTAAATAATCTTGACCTTCCTTTTCTAATATCATCATTAATTAATTAATATTAATTGCATCGGTTTGACCTCGATCAATTATTAATGATCCTAAAGAATATTGTTGTTCTAAACCAATCAAACTCTATTGATACGTTCTTAAATGAAAATAATGTGACTCAGTTATCGTTAACCAATGAAAATTGTATTACATACATTTATTTAACAAAGATCATTTATTGTTGTTGTTATTGTTTGTTATATTGTTGTTGTTATTACTATTATTATTATTATTATTATTAATTATTATTATTATTATTATTATTATTATTATTATTACTTTTGAGATTACTATTATCTTTGAGAACAACGACAAAAAATTTAATATTAACAATAGCATTAATTAATATTTTATTAGTTAAATTAATTAGTTGACTTGATCTCTTTAAAGCATTAAATTACTATTATTATTGGTTGACGTAATGTTTGATTATTTTTAATCTGATTTGATATATGCTTTAATTAACTCTTATTAATTAATATAGACAGATAGTTTTGGTGGCATTCAATTTTTAACTAATATAAATTACTGTACTCTTTCATTTTCAAAGATACAGACAGGTACTAAATTTACGTAATGTGTGTATAGTTTCGAGCTACGAAGAGTTTTTTTCTTTTATGGTGATTTTCAAAATACGTAGGTTCAAGAGTCATGTGGACTGGGAGAAGATGGAAGAGTGGTGTGACTTCTCAGAATTCTGTCGATCACAAAAAATATACAAGCTCTCTCTGCCTATTCTAATCATCATTGCCAAAATTAATTTTCCATAGTAATAGTGTTCATTTATTGAGAATCCCGGGGGTATTTCTGAAACATTTGGCAAATGCAAAAACTACCATCTACGTTATTGGCAAAGAGGTTTATTGTAATTCCAACATAAATGGTTCTCTTATTTTGAAGGGTTTTGTGTGATTCATATTTGAAACCATTGATAAACGACCACAATTACAACCTACTTCACATATCAATGCATATATTCAACAACGTAATTGATTTCCTTAGTTGACGACTATAGTTTCCGAATTATTTAGGATTGGGACGACGAGCAAATTTTATGGGATGGTCACAGAAAATTCTTTGATATTGTTTGATTACTCTCTCTCCCAACGTTTCTTTACTTGATCATCACCGCCTGTTATTATTGTCATTGCTGTTATTATTATTACCAGTATTATTATTATTTCCTTTTTAGTAATTTCTATTTTTCAAGAATTATTCCAAGTATAATTTTATCATGACATTTTTCTTATTATGTCTTGGTTAATTTTTGACAAATAATTTTACCTGATAATAAATACGAATGCGTTTTATATATATATATATATATATTTCTGTTCTTTAGTATTCGGTCGCGAGTTTGGTAAACATAATATGTTTACACAACACCATCTTGGAAATATACATTTCCATCGGTTAAAACTTTCCACTTTCCATGTACTAACCATAATTTCTGATTCTAAACGTAATCCAAAAAATAATTGGTTTTAACAGAAAATTACCATCTAGGCTAGGCTACTGACTGACCATGCAAATGCGTAACACACATGTAACCAATTGATTTGAATATTTTGGGCACTAGTGACTCATTATCGATATTTTCCACGTAAAAGTCTCTACAAACTTTCCAATACATAGAGTATTTGAATCTTAGCGTGATGATGTAGGGATGGGCGGCTCCAAGTAATTGTTAATTTTAGAAAAGTCCAAACGATTAACTATATAAAGTAACACCCTAAAAAAAAAATGGTATAAATAAATTCTATTAATAGTTTCTCGCCAGAAAATCATCTCCAAAAATAGCAATTCGTTATTTGAGATTAGACCAAACCGGTTCCAGAACCGGTTCCAAATTCCTATCTCAAGAAAATTTAAAGGTAACAACTCATTACTGCAAACAAACGTAATTAGTAGCTTGTAAGGAAAAATCAATTCTAGAATTAGTAATTTACTTGGAACCGCCTCATCCCTAAATGAATGATACTGTAGCATGAGTGAGTGCTCGAATCGATTGCCTTTGATCCCTATCGACGCATCAGTAATAAAAAAAGTAGCTCCTAGTGAAAAGAAATTCCTTATTATTATTTTTTTTTTGTCATTAAGTTCATAATAATTATAATCTTTTGGGCATTAAAGTTTTTTCAAAGAGAATGATGATCTATTTTTGTAAATCGATGTGTGTAATCTGATTTTGCCCTTGTCATTCTTCATTAAACCATCACTCTAATCAATAAACTCTTTTCAATTCCATAACCAGTTTATACCCTAGGCCTAAACCCTAACCCTAATCTAAATTATCCTAATCGAAGCTTCGGAGTTTTTCCTAAACTAAAGGGTTTCGGTTACAGCATTGACTCTAATCATTTTCAATATCCAATGTTTTCATCTACAAATTTAACCAATTAGAGAATAATAGTTTATTTACTATTGTGTAATTTTTTATTAATTATCAAATATGACTATATAATGGATATATCACGATAACAACACTACTTAAGAGCGGATTCTTTAAACCGAACTCCGAATTGTTTATTATTATGCGACACGGGTTTTTTTTTAACAAAACGGCAGCAACAAATTCCAGAAGCAGCAACGCGCTGCCATATTCTAGAAAAATGTTGTTGTAATGAAATTTGTTTATTTGGATAACATGTAATATAATAAAATAAATGTTTGCTTAAAGATATGCATGGAAGATCTTATGACCATGCAGACTTGTTATGAAACAGATTTGGTTCAGTCTACGATTATGTTTCTATTTTTTTTTTTTAAACAATTGATAATAATTGCATTTTACCATTAAACAATTATCTTTTTTTTTTTTTTTACTTTTTATAATTAAAATTTCACTTGATTGGTTTCCAATTTACTAATCGGCTTTCTATTCCGATAACGTTTTAAATAATTTGGGATTATCGAAATCGAAATTCTATTTTTTTGATAATTATAAAAATAAAAAAATATCACTTAATGGCTTTAAAAAAAATCATAATCAATAGATTGTGAACTAAATCTGGTTCGTAACAAAATCTTGTATTGTGGTCTTCTAGGTATAAATATATAAATATATATTTTTTTAATGACGATCCCTGCAAAATCTATTTGATAACGTAGTAACAGTAGATTTCTTGTTTTTCAAAATGGCTAACATATTAAAAAAATAAAAAAACATTAATTGTTCCATGTGGCGTTATTTCATTATGTTACATTTTCAAATAAAAATCAAATACCAATCCATATAATTACATTTGTTTAATGCAGAGTATGTTTTCAATTGTAAAAAAAAGAAAATGATGCGGGCCTCTTAAAATCACCATTTACTGTGCTGCGCGGCCAGACTTCAAAAAAAAGTGATGATTTTAAAATAAAATCACGTGATATAATTGTTTTACTAAAATTAGAAAATTCTTTCTATTAAATTACTACTAAACTTGGGTAATAAAACCGATGATCTCAGCCACATTGCCCCTGCATGTTTGTGCGTTTGTAATGAATTTTATTATGTTTTTCAAGCAAAAATAAAAATCGTCCCGAAACTCCGTTACTAATTCAAAATTCAATTACACTTTTTAATCAAATAGGAGACATATTTGATGATTTTCGAACCTTTGCAACAAAAAAATTTTTATCTAATTAAATAAATTAATTTTTTATTTTTATTTTCCTAAATTGAAAAAGACAAGCAAAATATAGTGCCATTTTTGAATAACATAGAGTTCCTTTTGATATAAAAAAATATAGAAAACAGCGAACTTTTAATTTATATGTATATATGACACTTGGTCTGCAATGTGGAACTCACTTGATACAGTGTAGGGGTAGGCCGTAATTAAATAATATTATCTTTTTAGTTGATTCTTAAAAACAACAATTATTGCTTTTAAATTCTATCTATGTATTCATCAATGTTAGTTTGTTTAGTATTATTAAAATTTATTTCTTTTTACTTTGTATGAAGATTTCTAAATAATTGTGAATTTACGCTCAAATAATTTTGTTGAATAAAATTTAGAACTTTACCAACACTTTCTAAAGCATTATCAGTGCTAACTTTTTCTTCAGCGATATTTTCTTCGACTTCATTTGAGTCTGTTTCCCTAACAATATTAACTATTTTTTCCATTGATATTTTTTCTTCAAAATCAAATAGAAACATCCCAATTGAATCAGTTCCAGATAACTTATTTAAATCTGATCCCAGATTTATTATTGCCATTGAAATTATTACGGTGCAGATCATCTATAATCATTAATTGCTTATAGTAACAATTGGCCAACTTCAAAATACTAAAACAAAAAAAAATTATATCATTTTAAAAAATTTAACCGATAAGTTTTATTGTTCATGACT